ACCATCTACCCAACCACCCATCTGTCCATCCATCCATCCATCCATCCATCCATCCATCCACCCATCCACCCATCCAACCATCTACCCAACCACCCGTCTGTCCATCCATCCAACCATCCGTCCACCCATCCCCCCATCCACTGTCTGTCCATCTGTCCATCCGTCCATCCATCCATCCATCCACCTAGCCCTCCTTCCAGTTATTCCACTACCCATCTCCCTGCACACCTCCTCTGCCCAATTTGTCTCCAGTGCCTCCCATTCTGCCTGGCACAGAGTAGGTGCTCCACGTTCACCCATTCATTCAACAATTATTTGCCAAGGGCCTCCTAAGGGTCACGCACTGTGCTAGATGCTGAGGTTATACAAGTGAACAAAACTGACCAAATGCCTCCCTTTGGAGGTTGCAAACCAGACAAGTGAAGTGCATCTGTGCAAAGGACATGAGCTGGGGAGGGAGCAGGAAGTGTTTGCTGGAGGTGGGGTGAGGCTTCAGAGCTGGTGGCCAAGGAAGGCCTCATGAGAAGGTGGCATCTGGGAGACGAGCAGTGTAGGCAGAGTGAAGAGCATATGCAAAGGCCCTGAGGCAGAAACATGCCTGGCAGGACGGAGGAGCTGTAGGGGCCGGTGTGAGTGGAATGCCGAGAGCCAGGGGGAGCAGCAGGAGGTGAGGGCAGTGAGCGTGAGACCAGCTCTGGTCAGCCTGGAGGTCCTGGCACAGACTTGGGGGATGAGCCCTGACAGAACTGCTGTGTGCAGAAGCTGCAGGGTGTGGGTGGATGGAGTCGGGCTGGGGATGCACTTTGAAGCAGGATGGACAAGACTTGCCATGGACCACAGGGCAGGAGCGAAGCAGAGGCGGAAGCCAAACATTTGCCTGAACAACGAAGATTGCAGGGTGGGGGGGTGGGGGGTGCCCCAGCGCGGGGCCGTCAGGGAGCTGAGGGAGCAGCTGCTGTGTGGGTGTGGGGACAGTGTGTGGTGCCCCGAGGGCGGGGTGGGGGGCCCCATCCTGGAGGGTGGGGGGCAGGGTGCAGATGCAAGTATAGGAGGGAAGTGGGTGCTGGACGGAGGGGTGCGGGGTCTGTAGGGTTCCCGGGTTGGGAAGCAGCAGTGTGCTTCTCGTGGCTGGGGGCTGGGTGCTCCCCGCCCCGTTCCTCATTCCTCGGAGAATGACGGAGAAGAGTGGTGGGCTTCGAGCGAGGGCCCAGCCTAGCTCCAGCCAATGCAGGGTGGGCACAGGCTGAGCCCCAGGGGCCATGGAAGCTGGAGCCGGGCGGAGGCCTTGGATCCTGGCTCTGGCCTGCTCAGTGGAGGCCGAAGGAGGCCCCGCCACCCGCCCTTCCCTGTCAGCCTGCCACAGCCTCCCCAAGTCTCCCCGCTCCCAGGCCCTGGGTGGGTTTCAGAGGCAGCTGTAAAATCCAAGAAGTGTCCCCCAGACACGAAGCTCGTTTCCGGAAAACCAATCACCTGCTGCTGCCTCTTGATTTCTCATTTGGCAGCGGGTTCCCATGTCCCCGGGCTGCCTGTGAGGAGGGGTGCTGAGCCACCCTCCAAGGCTGGGATCATGGGCGGGAGGCAGTGCTGGCTCGGAGGGGACAGTAGGGCTGGCTTCACTGCCAGACTCTTTGGGGAGCTGGGTGGGACAGGACCGCCCCCTCCCCAGCCTGGCCTGGGCTCCCCCTGGGGACTGGAGGTGCCAGCCAGAAGGGGGCCTGGCTGTGTGGGAAGGGGCTTGCTGTCAGGGTCAGGCGCCTCTCGGGAGTCGGTGTTGAGCGTTTTATTGAAGCCATGGGATGCGTGAGGGGGGCCCTCCAGCCCGCACTCAGTCCCACCGCGGAAGTGCAGGAAGGTGCTCCTCAGAGCAGAGGGGGCTTCTCTCCATTCCAAGTGAGGACGGTCTCCCGAGGAGCATACTGGTGGCTGTCAGGAGCATGGGGGTGGTTCCCCTAGCTCGGGGGTTCGGGGCCTTCTCCAGGGACGTGGGGCTGCTGGTCCGTCCCCTTCCCCAAGACCCGAAGGTGTTTGAAGGCGGTGGGCAGCGTGTGGCCCAGGAAGGGAGGGTCGGTCACATCGCGGATCATGACGACATACTCCCCTGCAAAAGACAGGCGCTCAGACGTGGCCCCCAGGGCCCCCTGGCTGCCCAGGCTCCTGCCCCTGCCTCTCTCCGGCCTCGGTTTCTGTCCACCCACACACCCTGCCTGGGACGCTGGGACCCTGCCTCAGTGCCCCGATGGGGGCTCCAGGCCTTCTCCTCGGCCGGTGACCCCGGGACCCGGGGGCGCGGAGAGCCCCTCACCGCTGACGGGGCTGCACGGCTGAGTGCAAGGATTCTTTTGAAAATATTCCCTATCTTTTTAGGAGAAAGAGAATTCGTTTCCTCTAAAATGTTTTTTTAAACAATGAAGCTTCCGAAAACGTGGCCGCCTGGCCGGCTGTGGCCTAGGGCAGGAGGGCCGCCCTCCGGTGCGCTCGGAAGAAGGAGAAGCACTTTCCCTCTTGCAGTCTGTAAACTGTCTGCAGAGCTTCAAAGTTGGAGAAACCATAAAAAAGAAAATAAGAAATAACAGAAAGTGCGGTTGCCATAGAAACCGTCCTCTCCCCTCCCCCGAGCCCAAGGGGGCTGGCACCGGAGCGTGGAAAAAGCTCGCTGGGCTGGCCCGGGCTCACACCAGGAATGCGGCCGCAGCTGAGATGGGGTGCAGGAGTCGGCTCACACCGTCAGAGAGAACATTCCAGCGCCCCGGTCTGGAAAGCAGGCCCTCTCCCCGCTGCGCCCTGCGGACACCGCGTGTTCCTGGGGCAGGATGAGAAAGGGCCTCGGCGGCAGGAATTTGCTGGGCTCTGAGTCAGTTCCTTCAGCAGCTCGGGGGGCCTGGGAGGGGGCCCACATTCCGCAGCCCGGGGCACCAGGCCCCCCGGTCGGCCTGGAGGAGACGCCGTGCATGGCAACGCCACAGTGTTTCCAAGCAGCACGGGTTTCTAGGTGTTCCCAGGAACACAGCTCCCCAGCCTGTGGCGCCGGCTGGGGAGCAGGGCGCAGTGGGCAGTGGCCGCAGAACCCAGCCCAGCCCTCGTCTGACCTCGCTCCCGACGCTCTTCTCCCAGAGGCCGGGAGAGGGTCTGGCTGGTGGCCACCCAAGGCCCGGCCCACACGGTCTGGCCGCGGGCCCGGTGCCCGGCGTCCCCACAGAGACGGCGCTGCCCACATCTCAGGGACCTGGCCACCCGCTGGCTTTGCCCCTCGCGGTCTGGAAGTTGCTGCTCCTCAGGGCCTGGCCCTCCTCCAGCCAATCCCCCATCGGCCCCTCCCAACTTAGTGTGGGGCGTCCCCTCTGGCCACCCTCGCCCCCTCCCGCTGGGACGAGGGTCCCAGGGGCCTGAAGTGTAGACTCGTGTGGCTGCTGCTGGGGCTCCCAGTGCCAGCCCAAAGGGGGACGTGGGGGGCGCTGCCCAGGACCCAGCCCTCCTCCTGCACAAGGTGGGCTCAGGGGCCACGGGCCCTGCCAACACTCCCAAATACACGTGGGGTCAGAGGGGGCCCAGACCTGGAGGCCTGCCAGCCTTCCAGTCAGGACCCTGGACACAAGGAACCAGGGATGTTCACTTTGCCCATGGGGACAGAGGGGCACCCAGGATGGGGATGGGCAAGCCACCTCACCATACCCTGACCTGTGCCCGCAGCCCTCTGAAGGGACAGAGGCTGGAGAGGGTCTTGTGGCGGCCCTGGGCCCATCCATGTCCCCTCCACCTCTGGTGCCTCTGGGGGTGTCCGGGGTAGCGTGGGGGCTGGCCAGGCTGGGAGCTGCCCAAGCCACGGTCAGTGTTGAATTTAGGGGTGCGTTCAGGGGAAGGGGGCTTTTCCAAAGGGTCCACAACTATGATACATGCAGATTGTGGGGTGACCGGTGGCCTTGGCCCGTTCGACTGAGTCCTCCTCTTGCCCACCTACCTGGGAAGGCTCCTGCCGCCGGCTCGGTCGTGGCCGCCCCGTCAGGCCTGCAGGGAGAAGAGGAGGAAACCCCTGGAAGACTGCAGCCCCGAGGACGGCCCCGCGTGGGCCCAGCCACAACCACCCTGTCCTTGGAGGCCCCACCCCTGCCTTCCGAGCGCAGCGTGCGCAGCCCCCGCTGGACAGCTCTCTGCCTTCCCGTCTACACCCAAACACGCCTGTGGATGGACGCTGGAGCCGAGCCTCACAAGCTCGCCCCTGTTTCCACAGCTGGTGCTGCCGCGTGCACAAAGCTTTTGGGGGCACCGAGGCCGCACAACGCCGGGCAGAGCAGCCGCCCAGGAAGGGGCCGATGCGCCGGGTCCACCGCGTTTGGCATTTATATTCCAGTGGCAGCTGGGCCCCGCGGGAGGTGGGGCCATGGGGGGCACTGGTGTGTCCCCTTGGGTCCCTTCAGAAGGCTGAAGGTCGTTACCTGGGAGACTCACAGGAAGGGACAAAGTAGCAGGCAGGGACAGGAGGGGTGGGCCCAGGCCTGGCCCCAAGTCTGAGGGACAGAGACCCTCACTTCTGGCCACGGCAGCCACAAGAGGGCCCTGGTGGGCAGCCCGAGGCAGCTCAGTCAAGTCTGAGGCCGAGGGCTCCGACCCGACCGGAGGTTCTCCTCTCCGTGGTACGCGGTGATGTGCCCGCTCCGCCCGCCCGCAGGGGCGGTCACCCGCCCGGGGGACGTGCCGTGTGCCGGTGAGGACACCTGGAGCACGTCGTCAGCTTCTGCCCTGGGTCAGGCCCTCAGCCTCCTCCCGCCACCTTGGGAGCAGGGAGCCGGGGCAGTGTGGACGCCCACCTGAGTCCTCCAGCTGCTGGACGCACTTTCCTGGTGGGACGGAGGCCCCGAGTGTGGCGGGCTGGGCTTTGCCCTGAATTATGTATCCAATGGGACTTGGGCGGGGGGGGTTGGGGGACTCCTCCCACCCCTGCCCTCCATGGCTGTTGGTTTCCTGTCATCAGAGCAGGGGCGGGGGGCTGGAGGCCAGGGGGCTCCCTGGCATCAGCTTGGCGACCTGCCAGGCTCCGACCCCGTGCCAAGCTTAATTACCACAGGCATGGTTTGGGTGATAAAAAATTAAAGACAAAAGATTTTAAAATTACTTCATTTCAAGTGGGGGAAAATGGGCCTTGGCTTGGACCCAGGAGCCACGTTACAAATTCTGAAGTGTGGGTGAGGAGGGGAATGCAGATAAATAATTCAGCACTAAGAATAACCAGAGTCTGTCAGCCTGCCAGCTTCAAGAGAAATAGACGGGGTTACAAGAATCCTGAGAGTTTTTACAGAACCCCCAGGGCTTCGAGAAAGCAGAGGCAGAGCCGAGAAGGAGCTGGGGAGCCTTGGTGTGAGGCGATGCCGGAGGCGCCCATTAGCGGAATGGCTCTCCAAGCCGCGCGGGGTGAGGGCATGGAGCCCTAGGAGACCTGGGAGGCGCGTCCGAGAGACGGGCGGCTGAGGGTGCAGCCGGAGCCCTGTACTGGGCTCGGACCTTGTATACAGCACTGGGCGGAGCCTCCAGGGTTCAAGGGCGATCAGGGCAGGGAGAGGTGACAGGCCTCCTGGGCAGACTTGGGAGCCCGCGGTGGGCAGGCAGGGGGCTGGGGGCCTGGGGTTCAGGGGCTGGTGCTGGGAGCTGGAATGGGGCTGGGGCCCAGCACTGCATCCTGTGTTTTCTCTTGATCTGCAGCTGGTGTCCTTGTCCTTAAGCTTCCTGTGCTTGGGGTTCCTTGTGTCTTGAATCTACAGGTTTATATTTTTCATGAAGTTTGAAGACATTCTGGCCGTCATTGTTTCTTCTGTCACGTTCTCCCCTGCAGCACTTGGAGCCTCTGATCCTGCATGTGGTTGGCCGATAGGTGCCATCTGGCTCGTGATGTTCAGTCTTTTCGTTCCGGGTTTCATTTGGGGGGTCGCCAAGGCTGTGCCCGCAAGCTCATGGCTCTCGTTTCCTTCCACCCATCCCTGCCCACATTTTTCAGCTCCAGCGGGTGAGTCCACTCCTTCACGCCTCCGTGTCTGCCGAGCGTGGCCAGTCTTCCCTGCTGGACATGCACAATCCACTCACAGCGTTTCACCTCCCCATCTACTGACTCTCCCATTTGTGTCATTTCTGGGTTGGCTTTGATTAGTTTATTTTTCCTCATTATGGGTTGTACTTTCCTGCTTTCTTCGTGTGCCTGGTAATCTTTGGTCAGATGTGAGACATCGTGAATTTTACTTTCTTGGCTACTGGCTACTTTGTATTCTTTTTTTTTTTTTAAGATTTTATTTATTTGACAGAGAGAGATACAGCGAGAGAGGGAACACAAGCAGGGGGAGTGGGAGAGG